AGGGTTTAGGATTTAGGGCTTAGACGCGGCCTTACCTTGTAGAGGGTTCTTATTCGGATTCCATAGTGTGCTTCTAAGTTACGCGCCTTTCGAGTCTCCAGGCACCCTCCATAGAAGAATGGAGCCCTTCACGGAGCCCTTTAGGGTCTCAGGATAGGTAGTCAAGCGGTTTAGGGTTTAGGGTGTTGGCTTAGGGTTTAGGGTTCAGGGTCTAGGGTTTAGGGTTTTGGGGTTTAGGGGTTGAGGGGTTTAGGGAAATGTTGTCATCACGAGCGCCATAAACCCTAAGCCCTAAACCCTAAACCCTACACCCTAACGTAAGGCGGCGGACGCTTGAGGAGAAGCCAGCGGAGTTGCAGCCAGGCCTTCTTGACTGGGGTTTCTTAAGGGCTCGGATTGGCTTTAGGGTTTTAGGATTTCTTACGGGATCATATGGGCTTAGAGGGGTGGCTATAGGAGTGTCTACGGTTCAAGCATCCCTTATGCAGTAAGGGGCCATTATCAAGGATCCCTCGCCTCTTTTTACAAGCATTTCGCAACAAAAAGTGTTTCTTCCAAATCGACCAACCAGAGTTCCTACTTAAAACCACCCAAAATCCTACACCCTAAACCCTAAACCCGAGTCTGTCACCCCGTGGAGCTCGAACAAATCCTATTCCAGATGCAAACCTCATGCAATTGGGCCAGGATTGCTTGTGGCTTCTCTGTGGGACTGTATTTTGGGCTACACTTCGCCGCGGGCTCTCTGTGGCAGGATTTTCGTGTAGGCCCTGTAGACCCTTCGCTGCGGGCCTCTGTTTTGCTACAGTTTGTTTCCCCACCCCTCTGGGCACACACGAGCACGCTAGAGCCAAATTGGAAAGAGCAGACACCCCCGTAGTCAGAGTTGCTCTTGAAAGCAAAGCCAAGAAGTCCTTGCGTGTGCCTAAACCAAACCCTAAACCCGAAACCACGTTGCTCGAAAGCAACAGGCCCTCCCTGAAGCTTTGACTGAGGCTCTCCACAAGTTCCTCAAAAAGCCTACTACCCCTGGACCCTAACGTAGTTCCTTTTTGGGGTTCATACATAGAGTCCTATAAGGTAACCCCCTAAAAAGGAACTACTATGGGGCTATGGGTAAGCCTGATGCGACTCAACATGTTGGCGTTGCAAAGATTGCTTGAGCGGGCCAAAAAGAATCATGCTGGCTCGCTTGACAGGTTGGGGTTTAGGGTTTAAGGGTTTAGGGTTGAGGGTTTAGGGTTTGGCGAAGAGTGGTCAGTTGAAGGCTCCTGGGCCCAAAGGGCACAAAAAAAGAGGATTGCGAAGGGTGGGGCCCACCCCTGGGTAAGCCTTCGCAGCTTGAGCAGCACACGCCGAGAAACGCTAAACCCTAAACCCTAAACCCTAAACCCTAAACCCTAAACCCTAAACCCTAAACCCTAAACGTGCTGTTTTGCCGCACGTTGTGGTCCCCGACCCTTTGGGCACTCAGGGAGCCGGAAGCGGTTTCGCCTTCAACCTGAACCCTAAACCCTAAACCTTAAACCCTAAACCCTAAACCCTAAACCCTAGACCCTAAACCCTAAACCCTAAACCCTAGACCCTAAACGGGCTGGGTTTTTTTCCTTCCC